ACACACACACACACACATATAACATATATATGTGTGTGTGTGTGTGTAAAAATACTATTGTTTTAATAGAGAAAAGACTGTAATCACTGTGGATATGAATACTGTGCTGCTATGAAATATTTTTTTTACTTGGTGCATCATCTTTAGGAAAAATCTAAGCAAATTTAAATAAAATGATAAGCTAAACTAAAACACTTATTTTTATGGGGAATAATGATTTTTGTTGTTTTTAGTGATAGTTTAAGAAAACTTCACTGTTGATTCAAATGGTAACGCCGTGAACGTGATTGGTGTCAGGTTTAAATTCAAAGTATGATTCAGCAACATGCTATTTTTCTTTTTAAAGAAAGGAAGAGCAGTGAAATGTTGCAACCTGCACAGCCTTTGGGCAAACTGTAACTTACTCATTTGTAAAGCTTGCTGAGATGTGGCTGTGGTTCATTCAATACTAAACCCACCTTCAAACTTTAGATGGACACGGAATGGGACTTGTAATTATGGATCAATAGCTTCTCCACAGTTTGGTATGTGTCTACCTTAATAACTAAACATTTTATACCTAAAACAAACTCAGTTTTATGTGGTTTCATTCACTTTTTTATTTAATTTAAATCATTTCTGCCTATATCAACTAATTATTATCTTTTAGTTAAGGAATCGTTTTTTTCAGACACCCTTGTTGATACACAGTTGTACACACTTCCAACTTGTTTAGCTAATTTTAATAATAAAAGCGAATTCCATACAGAGCAACCATGCAGCTCACTATTTTAAAACTAAATACAGCAAAAATGAGTTTTAAAAGATAATTTCTGCAAATCTATGTGAATTTAAAGGTTGGGAACTTTAGTCTCGATTGGCCCATCAGCATCTAAATACACAATCTATGATGATTTTTTGAAAAAGATTGTAATGTACAATAGAGGAGCATTACATACAGTAGAATTTATAGAAGTATGTGCTTTATTTCATAAAGTAAGAACAGTAGGAAGTTTTTGTGTGTTTATTGGAGCAGAAGTGATGCCCAGGGCCAGATGCAGGAAGATGGTGCCCTTGGGTTAGAGCCAACATGGTGGCCTGCTAATAAGCATTTTTTTTTTTTTTTTAGTACAGTTAAAGCTAACAACAGTTTTATCTTGTAACTCTCCCTTTTTTCAGTTCTTAAAATTGACAAAAATGTCTATATTTACTAGATATATTTACAGCTGTTTAAAAAAAAGGACCCAAATCATTTCAGGGCGTCTATTTGGTGGTGAAATAATATATATTTTTTAAAACGTCTAAAGATTCCTGCTGTCTCCTCTGACATGCTGAAGTGCAGGGTTATGAAAGGCATTTACCAGTTATTAAACTATACAGAAAAATGTGCACTAATTTAAAATAGTATCTGTGTAAAATATACATTTAATCAGAAGTGATATCAGAAACTTGCTTGTTAGCTCCCTGCTAAATGATTTAATCTAAAAAATTATATTGAGACATTAGAATACAAGAGGTGATAAGCAGAGACACCTCCAGAAAAGAGCTTCATTTAGCCTGGCTGCTTTGACTGTTAATGCATATTTTTAGCCACACGTTTAGCAAAAATAAATTAATTTGATTAACTTTTCCACTGCTTAAGCCACTGAGTCTGAAAAGAAAAATATATATTTATATATTTTTTAAACTAGCAAGTACTAATGTTTTTAAAAGAAGGCGGGGCCAGGATTGAGTGACAGATATTCAAATAGGGGTGCAATACAAAATAAAATTAAATGATGTTATAAGTTGTTGAAGCATATAAAATGAATACATAAAACATGATATGCATATAAACCCGCCAGCTAATCTAGAAGGGTTTTCGTCACCCTATCTGAAGGACCACGGCAGATGGATAATAAATTAGCCTTTTTACAAAAAAGAAAAATCCCAAAGATATTTTTACTGGAATAACGACGACGAAGGCAACATAAGATGGTGGATTAATAAGGCTGTGGTGACCAGCCGTAGAATAAATATTTTTATTCCCCTTGTTGTTTCCACGCCAGGCCCAAGGACACGGAAACTGAAGAAGAAGAAGAACAGCAAGGAGGACAAGCGGCCCCGGACGGCGTTTACGGCTGAGCAGCTGCAGAGACTCAAAACCGAGTTCCAGGCCAACCGGTACATAACAGAGCAGAGGAGACAGTCCCTCGCCCAGGAACTGAACCTGAACGAGTCCCAGATTAAAATCTGGTTCCAGAACAAGAGGGCCAAGATTAAAAAGGCCAGCGGCTACAAGAACGGTCTGGCGCTGCAGCTCATGGCGCAGGGACTGTACAACCACTCAACGACCACCGTGCAGGAGGAGAAGGAGGAGAGCGAGTGAGGGCCCCCCCACCCCACCCCTCCTCGGGACATTTCCCCACGCAGGGCTGCTGCTGGGCTGGCTGACTCTGGACTCATGGAGATACATAAAAAACAGAACTGGAAGTGGGGGGATCGCTATTTAAAAACACAGATTTCTGTTTATGGTAACAGTATATGGACATAATTATATAAAAAAAAATGAACGACCGTTATTAAAATTTATATAGCCACACAGTTATCATGTTGTATACATCACTGCATATTAGATTCCAGGCTCAGATTCAATCCAACATTTTTTTTTTTTTTTTTTTTAGGGATGTCTGATTTTATAGGTTGTCTCGCTCTCCTCGTTCTTCATGTTTGCGCCATATTTCCCTTCAGCTAACCAGTCCACCGGACTCAGCCAAGCCAAAGATTTTTACTATGTTCACATGTAGTCTGAAATAAAACAGAAAGAAAAGAGCAAGACAGAACGGCCTAATTTACACTTTTTATTATCATATAAATCCATTTGAATTATTCCTGTTATTATAGAAACATAAATTGCATTTTTCTTCTTCCTTTTTTCCCCCCCTCCCAACTACAAGCTAAAACTTTACCCACTATTTAGTGTCAGCTGTTTCTTAAAATATGATTCAGGTTAGTTTTTTTTTTTTTTTAGATAGATTCTCGTGAGAAACAACAGTTTAACCAAAAGCTTTAACACACATGCATGCAGTTCAGGTACAGTTCCTGTTTCCAACCCCCCGCCTCCCCCCATCCCACGCCTGGATACCGTTTCCCCCATTAAACTATTTTAGTCATTTACAAGTTTTCCCAATGCTGACGCTGCTCCAACCAGCTCATCGCTGAGCTTTAACCTACTCACCACAGAGGCCTTGTCCTTGTTGTCATTTAGCTGTTTTTGTTTTTTTTTGCTGCATGTTTGAGCCTGTCTGACCCCCTCAGGTTGAGGTTTACACAGTTTGGCTGTGAGCTGGCTGAAACAGAGAGTGTGTGAGTGTGTCTGTGCTTCTGGGTGCTCTACTCTAGAGGTCATTGGTAGCAGAGAAATCGAATCTGGGAAAAAAAACTAAATGATGGGATGAAAAATAGAAAAAAATGTCTTCAACTAGCTGGTTTGGTAAGTTTAAATTTGGACAAATATGATTTTTGCTTAACAAACATGCTTCAGACTCACATTTTCAACATTAGCTATATATATATTTGCATAAATGAGACAAAAGTTGTGTCTTCTCAAGTAAAAACTGCTTGATTATTTAATATAAATACATTCAGAATGAATTCTCATCAGAAAACTTACACATGTATAATATATAGAGATTTTTGTTAAATACTTTAGGTTATCAAGTTTCTCCAGGAGTGAATACCCCACAGCCTGCACTCTGGGTCCCTGAGCAAGACCCTTAACCCCCGATTGCTCCCCGTGCGCCACACAATGGAAGCCCGCTGCTCCCCAACGGGATGGGTTAAATGCAGAGGTTAATTTCTCCAATGTTAGATCAATAAAGTTGGATATTATTATGATGATTATCATTACTCATAGGGAGGCTAGATTTGGAGTGGGCATACATTTGGCTAAAATTTCAGACTGTCATCGTTCCCGCCTATGACTGATTATTATGTAAATTTTGGTAGTAATGAATAACTGGCTTCATTTTCACACTGATCCAGGTTTTCGTGTTGTTTATGCCAAATTCCGACTCCACCTGACCCTCCAATTAAACTGAAGGTTTAATTCAAGAGTTATAGAAACCATAATCTTTTCTAAAACATCATTGTCCAATTTTGGTGCGTCCTTGTAAATTACAGCCTCAGCACCCGTTGTGGTCGTCTACTTTAAGGTTCGGAGAAGGCATTCCACATACTTTGGTTTTTCAGAATCTTTGCGTTCTCCTCCTGACCTGTTGGCTGCTATCTCCTCTGACCTATGACCTCCGCTCTCTGGATTAATTTTTCAGTTCAGACAGGGACAATTTTGAATAAAAAAACAAACATAAGCATTTCCTGTAACACTGAAACCTCCTAAATAAGTGACTAAACTACAAAAAGTGGGGGACATTTTACCTTGTTTGGTAGAAATTGTACAGTAGGTACGTTCTTGAGGGATGATCCAGGCATCTCGTTCTGTCAAAGATGAGGAAAGTGTTGATGTTTTAGTGTATTTATTTTTATTTAAATTAGATGCAATAGTTGTCTACGGTTAAATGGCTATGAAATATGTCAATAGACGCCCATTGCTTGGAGAAAAGTGTGAATGTATGTCGAAATTTTATGTGCCTCATTACAAAAAAACCAAAATGGGAGAAAAACAGAGCTCATAAAACCCCGCAGTGTTAGGGAATGTGTCAGGATTCTCACAACGACATAAATTACACAAAAGCTTCTTCGGTTTTAACAATAGAAAGAAAAAAATAAAGCGTTTTAGGGGGAGGAAAATGCTTCAAAGTTTATAAAAAACTTTCTGTACCATAGTGAAAAATGGGAAGAAATACCTAAATGAGCCTCAGGGATGTCAGGTTCAGTTTTTTTTAAATACAAAAGTAATTTCCTGTAATAGGAGCTAATAAGGCTGACTGCACATTCCTATCATTTCTGCTCATCACACAGTTTAATTCCGCTGACCTATGATCAGTTTTATTCAATTAAAGGCTAACGAGGCTGTGAAAGATCTGCAGCTGAGGAGTTCAAGGCCTTTGCTGTTTTTTTTGTGACTTTTTTCTAATTATTTGTCCTTTGATTTTTTTCTCAGAGAGCCGAGGGTTAGCAGGCGTGCGTTGTCGAGGGTGATTTTAATTGATTTCAGGGACGAGCAAATGATTCACAGGCAGGTTTAACCTTGTGAGTTTAAAATGCATTTGTTTATATTTTTTGCATCCATTAATTGCAAAGTGAGCATAAATCTTAACACTTCAACATAAGAGCATATTTGTTGTTGATTAGTTTAATCTTTTAGTTTCTTGCTTTGTTTTCAGAATGCAGTGGTTGTTTTTAGATGGCTTTGTATCAGATGCGAATAACTTCCCCTTTAATAACCCTCTGTCTGCCTGCAGCATCTCCTGCAGCCAACAGAAACCTCCAGAGGTCCTTCAGTTAGGCCTAATTTGATATCACTGTTTAGCATCATATTTGAATATTCATAGGACTTTATTTTAGTTGGACATCTTCTAATTCAGCCTGCAATTGCTAACGTAGCACAAAATATATTATGAGTAATATTCTGCACCTTTGCATTAGGAGAAGGAAGGAATTTAATAATAGCAATAAAAAAAGGTTATGTTTAGAAAACACACACACACCTAATTTGATTCTGAATGCAGTCTCTCCGGCCATCTGGCCTGCATGTGTGAACAGAGGTGGCGAGAGCGCCTCACTCTTCACGGTCAGCTAACCCTGTAGCTCTAATATTATCATGATAGTCCCATTCCCCCGCTGTGAATGCGGAAGAGGCTCTTATGACAGTGTATTTAAAATTCATACAATTATGAAACAGCGGGAGGATTTCTCTGCCTCGGCTGCCCTCCCTCCCACCTTGTCACTGAGGAAGGCGAGGGTTTATCTGTAAAACAAAGAAAAGCCAGGGATCGTTTGCATAGTTAGCATAGTCTGCCTTGCAGGCACAATATGGATTTAATTTATATGCAAATGAAAGCAATAAAAGGGAGAATACACACTGGAAATCTCTGCTCTTTAATAGGGAGGAAGAGTTGGATTTAACGCAGGTAGTGCACATCCACAAAATGAGGCATGAAGAGCCTGGGCTGAGAACAACACAGTTATATAACTTGGAGAAAACAGCAGCAGAGCAGCACAAACAGCCAGGGCACAATTTAATAAGATTTACTGCAAAATTATATGAAGCAGTGAATAACATCAAGTCACCAGGAATACAGAATAACATATATCTGTGAAGCCTTGATGTTTTTAAGATAATTTACTGTAATAATCTGTCATTTTCCATTTTCAATAAGCGTTCTTCTCCATAATGGTAGGCTAGGTAGAGAAGGAAAAAAAAAATGTAAGTAAATAAAAAACGTAGATGTTGCAGATTTCAAAATATGCTTATTTCAATCATTTATTTGTGATTTTAAAATACTTAGCGTACCGTTAAAAAAAAACACATCTACTCCTTTTAAAAAGCAGTTTAGGAATATCCTTGGACCACGATGGGACCACACAATAACTGTGCTTCCTGTTTGAGCTACAAAGGCAGAGAGAAACATACAATAAAATACTCAAGCATGCATGAAAAGGAAGACACACGCACACACACACACACAAGGACAAAGCCATTTCAAAGAGCTTCTTAGATCACCACCCTGAGACGATGGAGGTGCAATGTTGAGCATTTTGGAGTAATTCGTTCCGAGCTGTAGAAGTAAAGGGAGACAAAGAGAGAAGCCCTTCATGTGTGTCCCTCCGTGCCGTTTTTCCTTTAGTAATTGTAAAAGCTACACCTTTCTCCATCTAAAACACGAATACAGACAAACAATAGAAGGTGAGAAGAAAATTACTTGTTCTTACTGGCTATTTTTTTTATTTTCGGTCTTTTTTAACTGGGATAAAAAACATGTTTTACATTAAAAATATGTCTTTTCTGAGTGTGCTAGGCAAATTAAAAACACTTGCAAGCACAATCTAGGTGCAGCTGTGGCTTTTTAATAAAAATAAAAACAAAATTGTGCAGCTGATACAGTCAAACGATAAACACAGCAGAATAATGTGCTTTCAGTATCAATTATGATGCAAATACCATCAAAAAAAGATAATTTAAAGAGAGAAACAGCAAAACCTAAAAAGAAAATTCTTTGATATCTAATTTTATGGTCAGTGTTTTGATTAATTAGATTATTTATAACAATTTAAATCCTAATCTTAATGAAACCTGAATGTTTACTTTAAAACAAACATAAAAAATATATAAAATAGTTTAAATATAATTACACAAAAAGTCACAATTGACAAAGGGTGTCTCCCCAATTAATGCTAAAGAGTCAGCCTCACATTAAGCAACAATTCCTCCAGGTTTTTATTTCTAATAAATTCAAAAATATATATAAATTTACAAAACAATAAATAAGTGTATCAGGAAATGAACAATTAAATAAAATGCACATTCATCCATAGTTGACAGTAATTGTTTTTAACTAAAGCTAAACATGTTTTTGTCTAGATTTTCAAGAGCTAGTTTAATTTTTTACAGTAACTACATATATTTATCTTTATATGCTTAAACGTAGTAATCATTACATTATAATATAAAAGTATTTTAGTGGTTTACTATAGATAAAGAAATAAAAATTATATAGGGAAAGAAATAATCAAAAACAGTTGCACTATTTGTGCAAATTTGGCTTAGAAAAGATCTGCAAAAAAAAAAATTTCTTATAGTTTGATTCTCATTTTTTTTAGTTCTTTTTTTATTATTTATTTTTTTTGCTGCAGGAGTACACAGCCTGCTTCTCACCACGAGGGAAATTTACTCTTTGCTTATTGTGGCCTGTCAACGGGACCACACTATCTCAGAGTGACACACACAAATGGACAAAGGTGGCATTGAGAGGGAACCTCCCACAATGCAGCTGAGCATCAAGGGGGGCTCTTTGCTCCAGCAGCCGTGATCTCACCGCGCTAAATCCAGATTACATGGGGGATATACACAGCGCCACTTGTTTACACTGCCCGCCAGGGGGTGATTTGAGAGGAGCGTCGGGCATTGATAACCCCGCATGTAACGCAACCAGCCCACTTCAAAGTTAATGTCAATTGTCAAGTGTACTTTTTATTTTCTTTTGAGGCATATCGTTAATCACCTTATAGATGAAAATAAAAAATAAACAGACAAATAATAATTTCTTTTCACAATACTAGTTTTACCCTGAAACATTACTTTTCATAGTTTCAAAATACAACTAGTGCAAAAGTTACAGAGAGAGTTAAAAGGTCTTTCATAGAAATGTTATCCCAAAACTGCAGAAAACAGACAAACTTAAGTATTTTCTGTGCGTGAACACATTGTGTGATTCTCAAATCCACGCTAATAAATACATATTTTGCAGAGACGTGTGAATGCACACAGCTATCCACCTGGGACTCCACTGGTGTATGGGTGGTCGCACACACCTCTGCCTCTTCTTGATGTCTTTCACATGTGGAAACCATTTACCTTCTCACTCCTCCCTCACTTCATCTCATCGTCAGGGTAAGACACTCGGAAAGCC